ACTTGTAAACTCATTATAATGAGAGTTAATATGCAGTGGTCTATTTTGCATAGACCTGGATGTTTAGAATTAAGACCACATAACACAATTTTGTCTTTTTAAAAAATTTCCTTTGCCCTCCCCTCTTTATTTCCACCTCCTCTTTTTTTTCTCCACAATACTTAACTGTTTATTTATCAAGAACAATTATTTCTTGGTGCAAATATTCATCAGAAACACAAGCCAGTGACAAAATTCCATGGAAGTCAAGTCGAAGAAATCCTTTATGTTTCAAGATCACTTTTCTCACCAAAATATAACTGTCTTTCTTGTCACCTCAAAATCTTTCATGCAATCAACATTTCTATAGAAATCTGCATATTCTTCTTTCTTGGTTCAACCACCACAAACTTAGAGAAATGGCAACCTCAAGTATACAACGATGCACCAACGATAATGAAATTGCAGAGGGCCTTGCATCTGAGGTTTCCACAAAGCACAGGAAGTTGTGGGAGAGACATACTTCCACCCACACCCGGCTGTTAGCCTTGAGCTACAGTCAGAGTCCAAGTAATTTTTTGTCTTTGCTTAAGAAAAATTAATTCACAATGTTTACTATCTACATTGGGTCCCATACAGTGTATACTAAGTAGGCTCTCAAAAAATATGTTTTATTGTATGTGTTCTACCACCATTTCACTTGGTGTTGATTATACTCAAGTATATGAAGTAGATGAAGCTTCTGTTCATTTTCATGAGTGCTCCTAAGATCTAAATTGCAAAAACTATGAATGAATTTTTTAATACAATGCTTGATTTTTAAAACATTAAAAAGTTTATTTGCACAAGCTTAGTCGTATGAGATACAGCAACAGTCATGGAAGGCAATTATAAGGCTAATACTTTAATAAACAATTCCAAATAGTAGATATTACAGTTTAAATCTCAACATTAGCTCTAATGTTCAAATAATATTTAAGTTAATAAATAATTGTGAATATAACCTTGTGTTCATTTTATTCCCACCAGTTCATCAGGAATTACATTTTTTTTGTGATTCGGGTCATAAAAGTAATAAGTAAGTGTTTACATATTTTCATAAATTGCCTGTTTATCAATTAATCCTGAAAATAATCTAGAGATATACACCAATGAGAAATATAAATTAGGCATTTTTTTTTAGCTCTTGGATTTCAACATGAAGAGCACCATAACTGCTCTTAAATTTACTATTCCTTGCATATGTTATATGACAGTTATTGATATCTATTTTCACAGGCAATAGTCATTTGCAAAAGTGAGCAGGCATCATTTTGAGTCCTGAATTAAATGTCTTCCATGTATTTCAGAGAATTATGGGTTTCATAATTTTGAAACCCGTAACTATGGGTTTCAAAAGTTTCTACTGGGAATTCCACTTACAACATGACAGAAAAAGGGAGGTTTTGATAAACCTCTTCCCTAAGTAAAACTAGATAAAAGTAAATATTTCTCACAGGAAATTTTACCAGTTCATCCTCAGGGATGAACTGACCTGTGAATATTTACCTTGAGTTTTCCTTATTATTTTACCTTGTCCAAATTCTCTCATTGCATTAATGTGTAATTAAAGGGCCAATCATTTAAAAAAATTATGGCTATTCTGGTGTAAAGTTCTACAATACTAATAGAAACACAAAGTTTGTGTTAAAGAAAGTGAATTTGGTTACTTTATACTCTCCAGAAGAGTAATCACATCTTCCCACTAATTTGATGCTATAAATATATCAAAGCAAAATTACTTCCAGGTATAAAGTAGTTTGAATTTGCATATCCTATAGTGCTGTGCTGAGAATTCACATGGATTTTCTGTTTTCTGATAAAGTTGTCTATTGAGCTCCCACTGCCATGTTTAGTTGTCACAAAAGCAGTTTGTCAAATGCTCACAACACAGTGATGGTGTCAGCGTGCTACAGCAAAAGACCCCATTAAATGAATTTCAGCTTTGGCTTTGCTACTCTATTTTAGGACTTTCTTGCTTATTGTCAAGTTTCACTCGGTCAGTAAGTTGTCTGGTTCACAGTCTAAGAATATTCTGTTTTATTTGGAATCTGACTTCTAATAATGAATCAGATAATGCTATTCTGTCATATGTTATTCAAATCTTTCTAATCTTGTAAAATCTTCAAGACTGAACAGCAGGTCTATCTAGCATCAATCAACTACATTAGGAAGAATTGATAATAGAAGGTCTAAGATCTATGAAAAACATAAAATGGCAGAAATAAAGTATAGGAATCTGAAATTTAGGGTTCTATATAGGTAGCAGGAAGGCCTTTCTTCTAACACAAAAGTTTTAGATTGAAGAAAATGTCATCTTCAACAATGAAAACATACATTCAAATTCTGGGCCCCCATTTCTTTAAAAAAGCCCTGAACGATTCAAAAACGACTTCTTTGTGTTCTTTTGACAAACTATATATATTTTCAGTGTAGGGACCACCTTACAATGTGGTGACACTGGCGGTACTTTTCCTTAGGGGAGAGATGGTTGGCATCATTTCCTGGCTGGGTATAATTCATTTATGTCCTTCTAGTCTTTCTCTCTCTGATCTCTCTCTGTATATCTGTCACAGCTCTCCCCTGGGAGCAGCGCGATGCACTTCATTAATAAGAAGGGATTAAAGGAAAAAGCCCTAGTGTCCTAATACACTTGGATAATTTGGTGCTATCCACAAGGCAATAGACCCCTGCTGCATAGATGTCATTAGAAAGGTACAATTTCATTACTTTTTACTGGCAGAGCCTTGAGTGAAATACAAAATATGTTGCCTCATATGCAGGGAAAAAAAAGTGCTAAAGCTTTAATTCACTGCATGCCTCTAAAATATTAGAATGCAAAAATATATTTGATGGTTTTTACATTTATATTGCCTTCCCTTAGCAGTCCTTGAAATCATCTGTTTTTGAATATTGAGCAAAGTAAAGATTAAAAGAAAATTATTTATAATCTTCAATCCCAAATGAAATTTATGTATTTTTTATTAATTATTGCACTTGTTTTGAATCCCTACTATGTGCCGGCTGCTTTACTTGTTGCTGAGAGATAGGTGATATAAGAACATCATTCACTTTTTCTTAAGCACTAACTTATTGACTGCTGTAACTGGAATTACGAGTGTAAAAGTGAGTCAACGAGAATAAACGATATGACTGAAACAAACGATTGTAAGTCAAAAAATTGTAAGTGTATTCAGAAGATGTTTAACTTTTCCTTGTTAACCTAACTTAGTTTTGAACTGATCTGTTGAGTTAATGGTTCACGGCATTCTCTTTTAAGCTGAACTACACACAATATTAAGCCTGTAGAGGTCTATTATGCAAACACTTGAAAAAATGAACATAAACCATCCTTAGATTTATAAGCTAGTTTCTATAGGTGTTGCCCCAGACAGGAAGTAATGTGTACCTCTAATAGTTGGTCACACCTCTGAGAAAGGGGCCTAAGATTTAGACACCTACAGAAAAAAAAAAAAAAAAACAAACTCCAGTGGCTCTCCCAGACACAACATGAGAGTGATGTTTCTAGGAATCTCTTACCTCACTTTCTTAGCACCGAAGGGGATCAGGTTTAATAGTGGTCCATTATCTCACTGCCACAGACACACAACTGCCATTAACACTAAAAAGTGGCACACAGTTGGAACAGTGCTTGGGAGAAGAAAGCCCTTGATTATCAGCTATTTACAAGCCACTCTTTGCAGTAATAGGTTTTTGCTTTACTACTCGCTTTTGTTTAGTGAAATTGACATTTGCAGTTTTTTTGTCTAAGATAAAGACTAAATGGTAAAGATGCTAAAAACTGGGGTTTCTAGAGAGTGTTCTACTGATGTAAGGCAAAGCAGTACAGGAAAACAATTTTGACAAGTAAATGAGTCAGTAACAAAAGCACTTTAAAAATGGGTTATGCACTACCTCTACAAATGAAAGATTGGTCATTTGTTTAGAATACAGAGTGTTCTGATGTCTTCACCCTATTATTCGGCAACTACGCTGTTTCTTGTCTCTGAGCATTTAAATTCACTAAACTATTTGTACATGCACAGTAAAGATGATCAACAAATGTCATAAGAAGGAAGAAAGCAGCAGAGAACAGGACTGTATGGCATTTTCTAGACTGAGCAGAGTTTAATAATCAACAGAAAGTCATGATTCAACTAGTTATGTTCTTGTTATCAAAAATATGTCTCAGCTAGTGTTTAAATATAACAAACCAAAAGTACAAACAAAAACAACCCCCAGTTTTGCCAATAAATTAAAAAATGTAAGCAAAATGTTAAGTAGTTAAATGTTTCAGTTTTTAACCTCCTGTGGTATAATTGAGAATGTGCACTGAAAACAGATCACTGTTTGATACTGAAATACAGATTTCCTTTTTCTTATAATTTTTATATGATGGCAACTTTTTTCTACTTCCATAAGATCTTACAACTCTGTCATGAATTTCAATAGGTGTTCTTTATGACTCAGATATTTTATAGGTGGAACCAATAAATATACTGGGTTTCTGAACATTCTCCAAATGTCTGGGCTTTAGTTCCACATTGCCTTGAACATTGAGGAAGAGGAAGGAATATCATGAATTGCAATTTGGGTTGAAAGTTGGGTATTTGATATATAAATGGAAGCAATTTTTAGCAATGACCTTTGTTAATCTTATGTTGCCGAGGTAGTTTATAAATAGGGGTGGCCCTCTCTTGGATGGGCACGACGCTGTGACAGACCATACTTGTTTTTTGATAAATGATGAACAAAACCCATACTCAAATGGGCACTGACAATACCAGTTTCACGGTAGTGGAGGAACAAACTGATGGGTAGGCTTATTTGTTCTGTGAGGCAAGACTTAACCAAATCTTACAAGACAATGGATGACTGATGAATGGAAACCAGAGAAACTAGATATATATTTGCTTTGGGGGATATTTTACAAAGATTTCTCTTTTAGATTTGGGTTTCAGTATAGGTTTCTTCCATTCCTCCTTGATAAATAATGAAACATTGGTTGCTTTGATGGAGTAATAGGATAAAAAGCAGCAACCTGTACATGCTTAACTTATAACAAATCTGTTTCCTTAATGGGTGGAAGGAAATCTGAGGACATTGCCTGCGACTCTCGTCTGCTTTCAGTGCTATCTTCTAGTCATACCGAAGACAACACCTCTCCCGATGGGTCCTTCCCTTTCTTCTCTTCGCTTCGGTCGATGTCAATCACATGCATGACTCCAGCTTTCAGAATCAAGTCATCAGTCTCTACCTGGCTCCTGTTATCCTCCACCTCCATGTAGCTCCCTTTTGTTTGCTGGGCAGCTTTGCTGAAGGCTTCTTTAAAACGACGCTTGAGTTCAACATCTGGACAGAAGACATACTCATAAAGGCCACCTGCGAGGACTGCTCCTATGATGGGTCCAACCCAATAGATCTGGGAGAAAGAGGGGAGAGCGTAGAGTGTAAGAAGAGAAAAACTGTTCCTTTAAATTTAGAATTCAGCACAAATATGTCATGCAAAAAAGAGAATTGGAAACAAAATCAAGTCCATATCAGAAATTCATATGCTGCATTGTAAGCCTTGAACAAGATAAGAAATGACTGTCCTATGTTTTCTGTTTTTATTAATTACACTCTTTCCCATTTTCTCATAAACCTTGAAGACAGTACTTCCATGGTACTGAGAATTAAGCCAACACCAAGAATTCTTCAACTAAAATAGAAAGAAAATGTCCAGTACGGTTCATATTTTCTTACAATTGCCATCTGACATTTCCTTCCTTCCTTCCTTCCTTCCTTCCTTCCTTCCTTCCTTCCTTCCTTCCTTCCTTCCTTCCTTCCTTCCTTCCTT